TTTTTGGAATATCCCAGAAAAAAAAGTCCCTGATCTACCCCCAATCTATCCAAACTTCTCTAATGATAATACTTCCACAAAACTACCTAACAACTTATAAACTTCTCAGGACTTGTTTGATATACCCTGAAGGCCATGGAACTTCTTAAAAGGTTTTGCAGTTGTCTGAAACTAATGGAACTGCCTTGAAGTTTTCTGATCTTTGCTGAAGTTTTGCATTTTTTCTTAAGTTTTCGAAATTGATCTGAAGTTTACGGAGCTTTTCTTAAACTGTTCTCACATTCTCTTGATGTTCCGCTAATTTCCAGATGCTTTCGAAACTTTTCAGAAGTTTTCAATTATGTTTTGACGTAGGACTACGTCTTTAATGTCTATACTGTGGGTCATATTAAAAAAAAATCAAAATTCAAACATGTAACGAATTATCCCAAACACGGACGTAACGATAGAGCGCAAATCGAACACATGACGCATAGTGCATGCTCATATGAGCGAGCTCACCGCTCGGTTGACGGCTCACCATTTCACCAATGAATGGAGGGGAGGAGAAAAACGCTTGCCAAATTGTTTTCTTCGTCACTTACTTTCGTGAAACGGACGGATAAGCGTTGGACACGACGTATGAGTGGAACAGCATGCATCGCACCGATACGAAAACGACGACGAATGCATTCACATCGACCAGAGGAAAGGCTTCCCGCAATAGTCATCCGGTCGGCATCGACTGGTGTGAAAAAGTCAAGTAGCGCTAGTTGTTCTTTCACAACAATCTAATTCAATGCAGGTTGGAGCACGTCTTGATCTGGTGTAAATGCTGCCATATACTTGCAACTAGGAATGCTCTGACGAAAAATACTCCAAACAGGAGGGGCCTACCGTATGCGTGATAATGTTTTCACCATCGTACAAATAATGTTCCCGTTTCACCTGTGCATACAATGACTTGGTTTTCTTTGCATGCACGTAACCTATAGCTCATAGCGTAGTAGGCTGTGTATAAAAGAAAATGATTTACTTAGTTTGACAGTTGCACCATGAGCAAATGTCGCAAAAAGACATTGCAATCGCCGTGGGAGTGTCCCGGTGCACCGTCAAAAGGGTTTTAGACCGAAAACCGCGAAGGTGGATAGTTGGTCGTCCGAGGTCAGCTCGGGTTCCGGGTTATCGCTGTTATCAAAAGAAAAATGTGGGTGAATCCAGTGCGTTCAATAAGGAGAATGGCAACGGAACACGGGATCAGCAAGTGGAAACTCGATCGATGATTAACATAGTTTAAGACTCTGAGAAACATCCCCCGTTTGAATAAATAAAAACAAAAACTCGAAAACGAAATTTTTGAGATTTTTTTTTTAATTTTGACATTGATCAATGGTGCAAACATTATCACGCATATGGTAATTATTTATTCTACAAGTATACAACAGACTGTAATTCAGTGAACATGATCAGCTGCAATTCAATTAGCTGTGGGGACAGCCGTCACAACTAATTTGAAAGACCCAGAAAGTGGACGCGGACATCGGAATGAGAAGCATTACCAACGGCAACGACATCCTTCGAACGTTACACAGCTGAGTTTGACTACAATGATCACCTGCGTAACGCTGCTGCCAGGAAAACCAACTGAGCACGCTGTATCTGAAGATACTCTCAAGTACACCAGTTTGTTCGCTTCGATCCAAAATGGCAGTTTCATTTGCGACGGAGATGGTCACCACAAATTTATAGGACCCTGATGGACGAGGACATCGGAGGCTCCCACTTTACCATCTTTCGGACGTTCCACTGCAGTTGTTTCGTTAGGCTGGTTACAACATTGATCACCTGCAAAATTTCAACCGCTGTGCAATGGTTCAAGCACGCCATCCCGAAAGTACCAGCATGTAAATCTCTTGGATTCCAAATGGCCTTTTTCAGGGCCACTATAGAATTTCTTTTAAGATCTTTAGATGATGGGTAAAACAAGTTCACAAAATTGAAATATGTTTGAATCATGCAGAGAAATAACAGCAAAGAATCATCAATCAGTGCCAATAGCAGTGTTAAGAAAATCATTATCAGCTTTGGGTCATTGAGTCTCCTACTAAGCACAACCCGCCCTTTACTTCTATTTTTCGAGCAGATTTTTTCACAGAATGAAATGTCTTTACTGCAGATGCCTTCTAAATGTATTTACATCAGTTCGTACCGATACACAGCTAAAAAAAAAAGAAGTGTAAATTTCCGTTACTATGATGCACATAATTGGAGCGTCATATATCATACAAGTTTAGATTATAGATCGTGTAAATTTATGAGACATGTCATTCAATATTCCACATATTGTATGCAACTGTCCACTTTTGTTTGCAACATTTCTTGCAAGCTGCTAGTTTACGTGAAAAGGAAGTTTACATGTATGAATGTTTGCATGCATGGATGTTTACATCGCCAGTAAAATTCAGAATTTTTTGGTGTGTAGATTTGAAAAAGAATAACAAATTGTTGAGATATTGTTAAAAATCTAAGACTCTTTCTTCACCCGAACTCGACAAACGGATGCTAAACTCGGCCTGACGCATTGAAACGCCATGAAAATCACTTCGGCCTATCGGATGAAGAAAAAACATTGAATCGGTCGGAGCGCTTCTTCTGTTTGTCTGTTCGGCGCTTAATTGATTCGTGAACGCCGAAAGCATGGATTTATTTCATATTTTCTGCTCGATAGGCCCAAAATGGGCGATTAAACCGAAGTAGTTCTCTACCATACCCAAAATCAAGAATCCCTACTCAAATCGATTACTTATTTTAGCGTTCCGCCAAGTCCAAGATCCCATTATTGTAGAAGTAATGTGTATCATTCAGATGCTTGAATACCGGTGACATCACAGCTCTGCGGATTCTATTACGTCCATTTCCACTACATCTTCCTCAAGCCACCTCTGTTCCTTATCGTTGTTATTTAACGTTACACCTTCTACGACCATACCAGCGTACCTACCCCTGTGCTCTTCGTCCTGTTTTTGCTTTCGCTTTTCCGGACCTCCCACTTTGGGCAATAAACAGTTGCACAATAAACACTTATTTTGTATCCGGTCATAGCAAATGATCCCTTTCCAATTGAGGAAATGATGCATGGATGGAATTTCCACCATCAAGTTCATATAAACATTTCGCATGCCCGTGTGCATGCTGAGGCCCAGCTCAGCTGGGAATTTCTCTCGGATGACACGCATAGCCTTCCGTCCCCTTATTTTCCTAGCATCAACACAAGATCGCAATCGAACATGTGCATCTATTGAACGTGGCGTCGCAGGTGACATACGCACAGCATAACGCATCAAATAATTGACCGGGGTTATGCAGCAACGTAGATTGCATTTTTTTCCTATTTAAACATAATGAAAACCGCTTTCTCCACAAAGATCCGGTAAGTTGCTTCCATCTCAACGAGTTTTACATCCAGTGCATTTACAAAAAGGGCAATTTCGTGCATGTGGTTCTTCGCAAACGGCAAAAGGCACCGCCCAAGCAACATTGCAAGTTTTATCGTGGTTTTACAGCATTCTACAAGTCTAAATCATGATCTACAGAACCCTCATAAAACCTTAATTGTTACTTGGGCGAACAAGCTGCAGGCAGACAATGAACAAAGACCACCAATACAAAAGCTGTTATCGACAACACGGACAGTGATACCACCGGTTGGAAACTAACGATTTAAAATTGGCTCACTACTTGACTAGCCTGTTGGTCCCAAGCAAACGATTAACGTACCCCATTCTAATCGAAATTCTAGTACTACACTATGTTTGTTTTAATTCGCTATGAAAGTTTGACAGACAAAATGAGGGGTTCGTGGATTTCCCTATGTTTCGAGGGGTGCATCGATTAGCTTGGAGCCGAAGAGCGTACCAGAGCTGAACCAAAAAGTTGAGCACGTTTCTTCGGGACATTCTGGTCTTAGAGTTAACTTTAAGACGATACTGCCTTTAAACTTATTTTAGAACATGATTGATGACAGTCAAGTACCTAGGTCCACGTTAACCAATCTCGGTCTTATTTCGGGGCTCCGAGGAAGTCACTAGAATCTGAAATGAACCAAAACCCACTATGCGGCATATCAAGTCACAAAAGAATCAAGTCTAAGATCATTGACAGCCATATTGAGTAACCAGGTCCACGTTAGTCATACCCTGATAGGTTCCGGCTGCCTCCAGTCAGTGGCCAAATTCTGACTTAAGCCAAAACTGATCACGCGATACTCCAAATCATATGAGAACTTGACTAAAAGGGAAATGACAGTTATAAATATAGAGATTTCTGGACCACATTACCAACATCCAGATATGTCCTGAGAGCCAAAGGGTCAGTGGCTAGTTTGTAGTTTGGGTCAAAATCTATAATGCGATGCATTCAATCACATAATAAAAATAGGGGCCTCCCATAGCTCAGTCGGTAAAGGCGCAGCTACAAATCAAGACCATGCAGGAGGTGGCCGGGTTCGATTCCCGCTATGGTCTAGGAATTTTTCGGATTGAACAATTTGTACTTACCACACAATTATACTAATGCAGAAATTGTACAGGCATCGAAAGCTGTCATTTAATAATTGTAGAAGAGCATCTAGAACACTAAGTTGAGAACACACAATAGGCTAATATGCGATAAACAATAAGTTTTAAATGTGAAGAAAAAGAAGAAGAAGAAGAAGTCAATAACATAATTCACATTATTCAAATCCAAAGTCATTGTTGGTAATATTGAGGAAGTGGCCAAAATTTGACTTGAACTAAAACCCATCAAATTCCGTAACAAATCGCATGAAAATTCATAACTTAGATCATTGAGCGCCCAGGACCGCTTTGGCCTCACAAACAGGATTAATTTGTGTATCATTCTAGACATTTGCATAAGGACCTAGTTAAAAGTTTGCACCTTGAATACCACGATCATAAACTTCCTAAAACGTTGGCAAATCAATAAATTACCCATTACCCTTCACTCTCTCCTCTTTCCAGATTTACGCAAAATGGTCTACTACACGGGACTGCCGCTGCTAATGCAGCAAGCAGAGAACAACACAATCACCCAGCTTTGCTTCAACAGCACATCGAACGACCATTCCCGGCAGCAGGAGCAGCAACAGCAGCTGGATCAACATCAGCAATCACAGCAACAGCAGCACCCATCGCAGCAAAGGTTCCAACAGCAAGTGGTCAACCTGAGCAACAGCAATGGCCAATCGGTACCGTACGGAAACTTTCATCAAGCCACTGGCAACGGCGCGGTGTCGTCTGGTTTGGTCACGCAGCAGCAGACGTCCCCGGTGGCCAGTGCAAAGTTCCGCTGCGAGCAGTGCAACATCAATTTCGGTAGCAAAAGTGCTCATACCAGTCACATGAAATCTCACGCCAAACAGCAACAGCAAGCCATCGGTGAAAGTAAAGGCGGTACGAGTTCCAAAGGGTTAATGAATGGGCAGGCCACTCCGGCCGATCCGTATCAGTGCGATGTTTGTAAGAAAACATTTGCCGTCCCGGCCCGACTGGTGCGGCACTACCGGACGCACACCGGTGAACGTCCATTCGAGTGCGAATTTTGCCATAAGATGTTTAGCGTTAAGGAGAACCTGCAGGTTCACCGGCGGATCCACACCAAGGAACGACCGTACAAGTGCGACATCTGCGAGCGAGCTTTCGAACACAGTGGAAAGCTCCATCGGCACATGCGGATACATACCGGCGAGCGACCGCACAAGTGTAGCGTGTGCGGCAAGACATTCATCCAGTCGGGTCAACTAGTCATCCATATGCGGACTCATACCGGTAAGTGGGATCGGCTGAATTGTGGTTTGGTAGATTTTAACGTTTATGTTTTCTGTTTGTTTGTTGATCAGGTGAGAAACCCTACAAATGTCCAGTCGAGGGCTGTGGCAAGGGTTTCACGTGCTCGAAGCAGTTGAAAGTGCATTCGCGCACTCACACCGGGGAGAAACCGTACCATTGTGATATTTGCTTCCGGGATTTCGGATACAATCACGTGCTGAAGTTGCACAGAGTTCAGCACTACGGATCCAAGTGCTACAAGTGCACCATTTGCGATGAAACGTTCAAGAGTAAGAAGGAAATGGAGGCCCATATCAAGGGGCATGCCAATGAAATCCCAGATGAGGAAGAGACTGAAACCAAGCCTACAGTGGCTGCCCCGCCCGCGAGTAACTCCAGCAGTCGGAGCAGTTTGGAGTATTCGTCAAGCTCGAGTAGCATAGCTGCGCCGGATAGTTTGTCAGCGGCAGAGGATGCGATGGAATTAGAGGAAGATCTCCACAGTCCAAAGGTAGAGTTCCGTGAGCAGCTGGTGAGCGGCCAAGTCAGCCCTGGCGGAAGCATGCCGACTGAAAATATTCACTACTACTCTCGGTTTGAGGAATCGGTGTTGCGAAGCTACGGTGTCCAGTCTGGCGTGAATCCGGCATTGCTGGCAGCGGCTTCGATTGCAGCTGCCGCTTCCGCTTCCAGTATGGATCAAAATGACATCCAAAGCAATAGGACTCCATCGCCACCGCCACTGGCAGCATTCTCGCAACAGCATCATTTGATGGCGTCGAACGTTGATCGGTTGACGCCACCATCTTCACAGCACCAGCAGCCCATCGATATGATGGTTCACCACCACCACCACCACCACCAGCAGCAAGGGCATTCACAATTTCAGCGGCAGCAGCAGTCACCGATCAATACAGGCGCCTTCATGTATGAACCGTTGGCGATCATGAAGCATCACGGCTACTTCGCTCCGGCTTCGCAGGTCACCGAATTCAGGTTGGTATTGTTGGAAGATCTTCGCGTTGCTCGTTGCTTACGTCGTATCTTTCTTACAGATCATCTAGTGACATCGTGCGGCAAGTGGAAGCGGCCATTGCCGGAACGGAAAACCTGCTGACGCCCCCACGTTCATCACCGGAATCGCCGGATCGTTCCTCGTCGCCCGAGTCCGATTCAGTATTAATGGCCGATCGGGACAACAACACGTTGCCACCGCGGAAGCGGAAGCTGTACTTTAAGAACGAACCGCAAGACCTACAACACGCATCACCCGAACCGGCGGCATCAAAGGATGCTTCCGGAAGTCGAACGCCTCCTTCACCGCCGGTCATACGGATGAGTTCGGTCATTCAGTACGCCAAGGCATCCTAAGTGAGCGTGTTTTCTACGTTCGATGATGATGATATTTTTCTTCTGGGCGGCCATATTCGATGTAGAGTGCGCTAAGTTACAAGGCTAGCAAGTGGTTTAGAAATAGAGGAAAGCAGACTTATTAGGGGATAGCTAAATTAATGGTAACGTTTTTAGAAGGTAATATTTATCTACAACAGTAGAATGTAGCAAGTCGACAAGATTTAAGAGAAATCATACATACAAACAAATACACATACACACATGCATACATTAACTGCAAGAAGACTGTCTCAGGTTAATCAGTCATTACATTTGATAAGTTTATCGCTTCTTTTGGAATGTGGATTGTTGACAGTTGGAGAGGGCTGACATTGAAATGGAGGCATCCGGCAACACTGCCATTGGCGTCTTGTCCGAGTTCAGCGTGAGCACGTTTCCAATTGAAACGAAAGAAGGATGTTTTTGGACAAAGAAAATTATTAAGACTGTTGAATTGTCAAAAGATTCTAGTAATCGAGAAATATTTTAAGACGGTAGGTAACGTGCGACAAGAAACACTAGAAAAGATGGATCAAAATCAGTATAGGAGATATATTTTGCGGCGAAATCACATTTTTTGGATAGGCAATTGCAGCGATAATGGGAAAAGGTAACTGAGAGAAATCGACATTTGATGGCCATTTGAAAAGACTAGCTTTTTACAGAAGAAAAACCGTTAAGGACAGACGGAGAGCGTAAGAAGCGCGGAAAAAGATAGACTGGAATCCCCCAAAAGTAATCTTTAGCGATAGGTAACCAAACAAACACTTTATCGAGTTCTAGAAATCACTAGCGTCTAAGAGTCTTCTTTCCGAACCCAAACTTTCAGCAATCCTTTAATGGTAACTGTATAAGCATATAATCAACAAACTCAGAAGCATATTAGCGAATAAAATTGGATAGCAACAATTGAAAGCAAAAGTACACCACTACACACACTGCCAACTTGAAAAAAAAATCGAAGCTGAAACTGAAATCTACACTCAAAGCAGCAATAGTAAAGCAAAACAGAAAAAAAAAAACAATCAGGGAACTGGCAGCACTGTACAGCCACGCAGCCAAATTTTTGATAACAATGCATACAAGCGCAGTTTATAAACTGTCAAAAAAATGCAACAATAAGCGAAAGAATATACCTCAACTGCAGAATACTATTGAATGTTTGCCGATAAAACAAATAAAAAAAAAAAACACCACTGTAAATAGGCATCCCTAACGAAGCGTACGAAGATAAATCACGAAAACATAGTCGGAAGAGCAAGTGTTTGGTTCTGATCTCTGCTAGTAGTCTGTAAGTGTCTTCGGTTAGTTCAACCGTTGACAACAGCTGGCACCAGTGGCGCTGGTGTTCCAACAGACACATCCCCCTTTAATATTAATTTTCTCTTACATACTACATTATAATGCTTTAAGATATTGTCTAAACTGTATTCATATAGAAAGCAACCACATACAGAACAATGCATTTAATACTATTTTTAAAATAGTTGGTTTAGATTTAGGCTCCGACTCGGTTGCATCCCGATCCCGTGGATGGAGCCGATCCGGAACAAACAGAAAAACTGAAATCGTGATTATTTCTCTAAGTTCTCATGTTAGGCGAAAGAGTATCGAAAAGCTTTGTTTTGTTTGGTGTCAACCAGCTTCCGGATTCATCGTTGTCGTCGTCGTTTATTTGAATATACACCAAAAATTGTTTCACTCGTTTCGTTTTCCAATTTTGTTCCTTAAAGAAATGTTCCGTTCTCTTAAATAGCAACTAGTTCTACTCATTACTGTTCACGAGAACACTGCGCATCATCCAGTGAAAAAATAAATAAAGCAAAACCTTCCTTAGCATGAATGAAATAAAAAGTGTTGCTGTTCAACATTTGTAGGAATCAAATAGCCGAAATTAGTGGTTTTTGTTGATCTGTTTTCCGTTTCTCAAGTGCGTTTTTCTATTCATTAGTAGGTAAATGGGAAAGAAAATTCTGTTACACTCTAATATAGTTGACAAAGCATATTCATACAAACACAAGCAAAACATTATAATCGCATTGAAAGTAAGACGGCAATACTAGGAGGACTTTTACTGTGTAAAAACGTTGGAAGGCATGTAAAAGAAAGGAAAGGAGTAATTACATATAACATCAAAAAAACATGAGAAAATAATCATTTTTAATCGCTGTATCTGTGCTCTATAATTGGATAGTAACAAAATCGCAATAAAATGAAACTAAACAAAAAATCAACAATCCGCTTAGTAGGTCCTTGTTTTTGTCTTTACGCCTCAGTGTAGTTGAAATCATCATATGATCTTAATGAAATACAATTAAAAACAAAATGCCCTCACTACAAAAAAAAAATGTAGACATTTCTGATCGGCAACCCGAGAACTGAGATAGAATGGGAGGAATGATGCAAAAGCTGGTAAGATGGAAACAACTTTTGTGACACTTAGAATATAGATTAGTGCACGCAGTCTACATTGCGTTGCAATTAACTAAACAATAGTGACGCGAGTGACCATAAGCCTCGGTTGTAAGTAAGAGCGAAAATAAACTGAATTATTCTATTGAAACGTGATCATTTGTTGGCTGTCCGCTTTGGTTGATAAACTATCCGAATGTCCTTTCGCATGTTTTTATCGGTTTCCCGGAGGAGCACTTTTGAGACTTCCTGACTTCAATGGCCTCAGGGTTGGCACGCTTACCTATTGCAATTACGCGGGGCAGGGAATGATCGCACGTGACACACTTCACAAGCACTTCACTTCTCAAGTTCAAAGATTTATTTCACTTTCCTGACACAACTTTTATTCTCCCTCTTTTGTTTTCTTACTTACTTCCTTCCTCTCCCACTTTCTTATAACAGCCATTCCATAGCAAAAAGATATGGTGGTTCTAAGAATTTCGTAACAACCAATTGTTTTTTTTTTGTTCCTTATCGAAAAATATTAGACCCGTATTTTTTATTTTCTAATTAGAGTGACCGTTTCCATGTTAGGGTGGTAAAAAAAATCGATTTTTTACTATTTTTTTTCCATGGCAAAATGGCATTTTTTTTAAAAATCATAACTTTTGAACCATTTGACATTTGACATTTGAACCGATTTGAATGATTTAAATATAACATGAAAGGTTATTAAAAATAATTTTAAGAAAAAAATATCCAATTTTTCGAAAATTTGAGTTTTGTATAGAAGAACTTTGATTGTATTTGTTTTTTTTATGGTTTTCATGGTTTGTTGTAGACAATGGGCGTAACACGATTTTGTATATTTTTGTTATTTAGACCCGGATACGACCACCCATGTGTGTCTAGAGTATCGCACGAGCTGACGAGTGCAACAGGAAGGACAGTAGGTGTATAGACTAGGGAGTTAGTCCCTAGATAAGCCAACTTAGTACAGCCTATACAGTGAACAATTACAATTACAATTACAATTATAAAAGCAGAAGCAGAAAATTGATATGGATTTTGTGACTATGTCAGCTATGTACCAATGGAGACGCAGGGTAATCTAGTCGTATTGGAGTAATTAGCGAAATTTCTAAACATGAAAATTTAAAAAAATCGTAACTCAAAAACAAAGAAAAATACATTGCTGATTTTTTGATATGTTGTGTAGAAAAGCCTATATTAAAAAAAATATATTTAAAAACGTGTTGCGCCCATTGTCTACAAACCATGAAAACCTTAAAAAACAAATACAATCAAAGTTCTTCTATACAAAACTCCAATTTTCGAAAAATTTTATATATTTTTTTAAAAGCATAAGTATTGACCTTTTATTTGATATTTTAATCATTCAAAACGGTTTAATGGTTCAAAAGTTATGATTTAAAAAAAATCCATTTTTGGATAAAATAGAAAAAAATCGATTTTTTGACCACCCTAACATGGAAATGGTCACTCTAATGAGAAAAGGAACAAAACTACCAATTGTTACGAAATTCTGAGAACCACTATATCGTTTTGCTATGGAATGGCTGAATCTATCTAACCTTCTTTCTTCGTCGGGGTCCCTCGCAGCACTTCCACCACGTGTCTTCAATTGTCGATCGCTTGTCCTCGGTCGCCGTTCGCTTCCTCTATAGAGATTAGTGACGTTTAATGCACGCACACTAGCGGAAGCAACGCCGTGTAAAGTTGTTTATTATTTTCCTCTGGCTAACCTAAAAAATGTATGAAAGTATACCTGTCAAAATGAGTTTGACATCGATTTGTTATGTATTTTTCTCGGATATTCACAAACACGCTCTCACATATCGCACCAATACAACTGGATGTGAAAATCTCAATACTTCCTCTGTCTGTCTGTCTGTCAAAAGTTATTTCAATTGATCCGTCAAAATGCACCGCTTTGCTCGATAGGAACAGTTTTTTTTCAGTTTTGTGGTGACAGTCGTCCATACTTTAACTAGAGTGCTTTAGGTTAAACGTCCTGGGCCTACGAGTTGGTGACGTACTCGGGCCGGCAAGTAGCGACAGTATAACCTTTCGGTACGTCTACCGGAACTTCACACAGTACAGTGGATCTGTACTAAATACTGTGGGGTCCTAATGGTCAAACACATTTAGCATTATGACCATTTTAACCAAAATTGCAGTTATTGTGGTTTACCTGCTATATTTCTATCCGTCAATCTCTCCTCACACTGTTCACTGTTAGCTATGGTTTCGACAAGTAATTTCCACTTTTGAAAGTTATTTCACAGTTCGCTGTGTTAGCTAGCTTACTATGATAAACGGTTTTTGCTGGTGGTCTTAAAATCAGTGATTTTATTTTGGAAGGTGAATGAGTTGAGGCTGTTGGCCAGTTCATCGCCAGTTTGTCGTGCCCGTTATCGTCCATTCAAAATGGCCTTCTCTATCACCACTCCTCATGGCCTCCCAACAGGCAGTTGTTTTGACGTAGGACTACGTCTGTGATTTCTATATGGGGGTAAACTTTGTGAAAACCGAAAATGGAACATGTAACACATTTATGAAAGATTTTGAACGTTAATAACTCATTTACCCCTGGATCAATTTCAATCACTTTATCACCAATCGATCAGAAATATTTCTACGCATCTGTTAAATTTAATACATAATCATTTTTCAAAATTTCACTATTGAAAATTGCACGAATGTGCAGCTGTTGCTATGGTAGTTAAAATTATCACCGATTGCCTGCGAAAAGCGATTTCCCTAACACAGATTTTAAAGTTGAATTCCATCCGGTCTCACCAAACGGTGTTTATTCAATCACCACGTGGTGAGTGGTGGTGTTCTCCAGTACACAACGAAAGGCTGCCTGCAAGCAGTGCGCTGCAGTCCACATGAGCATCCATAGAAGGAGGAAGAAGCCACACCGCTATTGATCGGATTCAGTAGCTCTTCGTGAGTCGCTGTGGACCATCTATGTCAAGCGCTTCATACTAAAGAACAGAGAACCCCGCTCCAATTCCTATTCCTACACAAAACACAAGCTCCTGATGCAGTTAACAAATAAGATTTATTATTGACCACGTAATTCTACATCACCATTGCGTACAACCTCATAGAGCTGTCACTTGTAGTTTTTCCATCTGGTTACGAGTTTTACAAGTTTCGGTGGGGTGGATTGCTGCGTTCTACCACAGAACGGTCAGAAACTTTTGTAAAGATAAGATGGAACATCGCCGTTACGTGGCGCTAGCATCTCCTGATTTCCTCTATAAATTTTCCATTTTCGACCAATTTGGCGCTAATATCGAAAAAAAAATCTGTTGAAAATTTCCACTTGGCGCTACCAGCACTTAGTGTCTAGTGTAAGTTGTGCAACGCCAGCGCCATCAGTTTGTCAAAGAGGGTTTTAAGTGAGAAAGTCGCCGTCAGTGAAACTTAACCCTCCGTTGCTCGCGCCAACTTTTATAAAAATGCGGATAATAGAGAAAATGTGAATGGAAACCGCGAAAACGGTGTCCGTACTACGTAAGATTTGACTTAATTGGTTACAACATGGAAAATCTCGAGATCCTGACCAGATAGACAGTTACTGTCTTAGGCAAAGCTGTTCTACAGATCATAATCTTTTCGCTAATGGAGAGTAATTCAGAATTTTCTCAGTACGTAGCGCTAGAATACATGTGAAATTATCGCATGTGATATATCTCGAGATCACGATCAGATAGAAAGTTACTGTCGTCGAAAAAGTTGATCAGAAGGTCAAGGCCTTTTTGTTGGTGGACAGTAGTTCAGAGTTTTCTCACTTCACGGCGCTAGTATACATGTAAAATTCTCGCATATATAAAATATCTCTAGATCCTTACCATATAAAAAGTTACTGTCTTCGGCAAAGCTTTTCAGGAAGTCAAGATCTTTTTGTTGGTGGAGTAGTTCAGAAAATTCTCACTAAGTGGCGCTAGTATATACGTGCAATTTTCGCATATACAATAGCTCGAGATCCTGAGCAGATAGAAGTTACTGTCTTCGGCAAACTTGTTCAGGGTGTCAAGTATTTTTGGCTGGTGGACAGTAGTTCAGAGTTTTCTCACTACACGGCGCTAGTATAAACGTGAAATTCTCTTGTAACATATATCTAGATCCTGACCAGATAGAAAGTTACTGTCTTAGGCAAAGCTGTTCTGGAGATCATAGCCTTTTTGCTGATTAACATTAGTTCAGAATCTTCTCACTAGGTAGTGCTCGTATACATGTTAAGTTCTCGCATGTGATACATCAGTAGATCCTGACCAGATAAAGAGTAAATGTCTTTGGCAAAGTTTTTCAGGAAGTCAAGATCTTTTCGTAGGTGGACAGTTGATCAGAATTTTCTCCCTACTCGATGCTAGTATACACATGCAATTCTCGCATATACATCGCATCTCGAGAACCTGTGCAGATAGAAAGTTACTGTTTTAGGCAAACTTGTTCAGGGGGTCAAGACTTTTTGGCTGGTGGACAGTAGCCTAGTAAACGTGTACTAAACTCAAGATTCTGAACAGGTAGAAAATTACTGTCGTCGAAAAAGTTGTTCATGAGGTCAATGTCTATTGCTTGGTGCACATTAGTTCAGAATTTTCACACTACGTGGCGTTAGTGTACACGCGAAATTCTCGCATGTAAAATATCTCGAGATTCGGATCAGATAGATTTCGCTAGTGGACAGTAGTTCAAAATTTTCTCACTACGTAGCGCTAGAATACACGTGAAATTCTCGCATGTGGTTTGTTTCGAGATCCTGACCAGATAGAAAGGTACTGTTTTCGACAAAGTTGTTCAGGGGGTCAAAGCCTTTTTGGCTTGTAAACAGTAGTTAAGACTTTTCTCACCACGTGGTGTTAGTATAGATATACACTTCTCGCATATGCTATATCTCGAGATCCTAATCAGGTAGAAAGTTACTGTCTACAACAAAGTTGTTCAGGAGGCAAGGTCTTTTGGCTGGTGAATAATAGTTCAGAATTTTCTCATAAGCTCTAGGTTTAACCTCCGGAACAATTTTGTTCAAGACAGTAACTTTCTATCTGGTCAGGATCTCGAGATATATCACAGGCGAGAATTTCACATTTCACTTCATAACTGAAGTGAGAAAAATCTGAACTACTGTCCACCAG